CGCACTGCTGAGGAAGCCATTACTAGGATTAAGTGGCCGTCCAGTGCTTCCAGGTTTTACTAGGTGATCTAGCTTCAATTGACTCATGAATCCAGGTATTTAAATATTTAAAAAACAGATTAAAACATAAAAGGTATGTCATTTTGTTTGCTTCAACATATTGGGTTACAGATCATTTGTTAAGTAGACTAACAATTACTTAAAATGAAATATTACCAGTAATAATAATTGTATTTATGTTTGTCATTTTAAACAAGTAATTTCATTCATATTTTCTTACCACGAATAGAAATTTCAGACAGTTCTTTATGTTGTATATCGTACTTAACAATACAGTTGTCTTGTAGTGTCGGTTACTATGTTAAGCCCACATACTTATTCCAGCTTCTGAACAGTCTAGTTTATCCATTCTTCTTGAGTCATATTTTGGCATTGTTAATTAAAACACAATTGTATGAACGAAGAATATAATGGGAATTTTTCAGCGATTAAAAACATCGTTAGTTGTTGACTTATCAACCGTGACTGCTTTCATATGAGCGTATGTGTGTGTACATCTTATCCTACTGATCACATGTCTGTAGATTATTTTGGTATGACTAAATATTGATTAACGCTTGATTAAATGGAATTGGACCACACATCTTCACTGAGCGTTATTTCATTTCGCTCTCTTCTTTTTGCCTTCTTCGCTTCTTTGAAGCAGTCATTCTTGCGGTGGTTCATGCTCGCCGTGCCACACACCACAGAACTATTTAAGAACAGAAATATAAACGTTATCTTGGATGACTTCCTAACACTGAGAATTTTCACAGTTTATATTTTTTCTATCTTCTTAAAATTCATACGAATGTGAAATGGTTTTGTTCTGAAAAAGAAATAGTCATATTCTTTTGAAGTGCAAAGAGATTAATGAAACCTGAAAACTATTTAATTGTACTAATGAAAAATTTAAATTCACTAATTGATGTAATTCAATACTTAATCTTATGTAAATTCATATTTCTATTTCAGATTTAATTATTGCTAACATTATAATTTCATAATCTATTAGATGGTTTCAAGAGACTTGTTAGATTTTACCATGTTCCATTTCATTGAATAATCAATTCATAGATCATTGTTTCCAAAAATCAGGACAATCTACTTTTTTGTTATTAAGATAAATTGATCATCTAAATGATAACGCACTATTAGATTTTTAATCATTCACTTATATGAACCATTAAAATGTTGATACATTTTCTTATAATATCAAAGGTTGTGTGTAACATGCATATGTAGTATTGTGGTGTGTGTTACTTATATTGAAATGAGTAGTATATGATGTTAGTCGTGAACAGGTCTTGCAGTAAAGAGACAAGAGGATCGAATAGTAAAGAATGGAAACAGAATGCAATTTGTATGAAAATGCAAGATCAATGAAGTCTGAGTCCTCTTGAGATAATTGGTGGACATTTTTCAAATTATGATTGTTACATTTTATTAACGTCTTGTAATTTTGTGTTAAGTACATTCAATTGTCCCTACCCGTATTCTGTTCAGTACAATTTCTTGTATGTTTATACGAGATTTGACTTCTGGACATGATAAACATCAAGTGTTTTTTTTGTTGATAATAATATCTAAAAGGATCCTTAATCTACTTGCTGTACAATGTTTTTTTTTAAATTTAACCATTAACCATTATATTTATTGTAAGATAAGTCGGAATTATCTTCAAATGAATGGTCCATCTAAGTTTTCTCAAAATTACTCTAATCAAGTTTGTTTAATTAACATATATAATATATTCGCTGTTTAGTGTTAGTATTAACAGTATGTCTATAGTATGTGCTGTTAGCTTATAATTAAAATTTGATATTTTGCTTACTTTATTTACTTTACTTCTTATATTTGATGGAGATTTAGTTATTGTATTCTTACACATTATTCGGTTATGTCTATTATGTAATCATTTTTTTTATAGACATTTGTAGTTCTTACTAACTTTTAAAGAATAATTTTTCTTGCCAGTAATTGCAACTGATTTTGCAAAATACGAACGAAAATTTTAAAAAATTCAGTGTATCCATGTTATTCTGCTCAAATCGTTTTTTCGTGGTTTTTTCAAGCAAATCAAGATAACTTTGAGTATAAAATGTGGTGATAAATTATCAAACAATTGATGTGGTTCTTCAATATATTCAAATTCCTCTCATTCCGTAGTGGCATCCGTGATCCGCTTACTGGAGCATTAATTAGTTAGTATACAAAGTTGTTGTGACTGACTAGATGATTTCTTCAATCGACTTAATGCATCATACATATATATATATATATATATATATATATATATATATATATATATATATATATATATATATATATATATATCACTTTCAAGCTTACAGAGGGTCTATCAATCTAAAGTACTTTTTGGTTAAAAGTTTTGGTCACTTTCATTTAGTTCAATTGAAACAAATCTTAAATACTAGTTGGGTTGTTTCATACTTAAGTAAATGATTATTTAACTGACATTAACTGTCCAGTCCGTATTTCGTAATGTAGCGTTAAGCTACTTATGAGTAAGTAAACTTTTTTGCTCAAACCTTTTGCTAAATGCGAATTTTTACATATCTGGTACTTGACGGGTAAAATTATCTGTAACCTAGTGTTGATATTCCAGACATAGTGCCTTTAACTTCAAACGCCAACGATCTATTCAGTGAGTTACAGAATTCAGTTCGAAGTCTTCTTGAGGTAATAAAAGATTTAAGCTTGAAGCTAATTCAGCGTTTATAATAACAGGATAGACAAACATCTCCATTCTGAAACATTTGTCTGAGACTGGTCATAAGGCTGATATCAAGTCAGCATTTGTAGTGTTGTACAGAACCCTTCAAGAGCGTATACTAAGGTTTATTTAAGCCTTGACTATACAGAAACTGAAACCCTTTTTATGTATTCAAAACAATTTGATCTTACCCTTAACTTACCCTGGTAATACAGATTTATTATCCAGAGTGGTCATCACATTGTTTTTGTGTACTTTGTTTTCTTTGTTACGGCTTTGATTTAATCTATTTAGTTGACCTATTAGTTTTTATATAAAAATGTCTTAACAATTGTATATGTAATCAGATGATTCGAAATGTATTGCTCATATATTTCGGATAATTATGATAACCTTCGTATTCTCATTGCATTATCGAAATTTATCAAAGGAGCTAATTGTTATAATAACAAAGTCAATTTTTCAATGGAGTTCAATTATAATTCAGTTAAAACTGTTGATAACTACCTTACGTTCTAAATACCTAAATTCACTAGTCATAATCAACTATCAGGATGTGAGTTGATAAGAGTTATGATTTGATTTATTTTTGATATTCAATACGAATCGTAATACATTTGGAAATTCGTTTCATACAATTATTTATTGATTAGATGGTAATGAATCTCTTGTATGAAGATAGAACGTTATTCATCTTCTTTAACTATTACATAAACCCCTATAGTCCAGTTGTCTTCTTTCATTCAAGTTCAATTACGTCATCATTTATTATATATTTTATAAAGATTATTTAAAATTCATACACTTATTTATAACTCAGATTTATTTAATAATGAATAGTGAGTTACTACATTGTAATTAATATTAAACATATTTTCACTACTGAATTTGAATACTCGCCTTTGAAACATGATCTTCTAGTCACATTATTATTATTATTATTATCAATACCATTGTATTTAGTTTTTTTCCTATAAACCCAATACATATTTATCATTATAAGTTCGATGAACCAAATCTAAGAAAACTTCAAGAAATAAACAATCATATATAAAACCAATTGAGATATATCCACTTGATGTTGTTTTACTTGTATCTTCCTATTGTTATTTAAGACTGCATTCGATCAGTCTCATGTTGGCATATGTGCATACTGTACGGATTGCTTCGATATAACCCTAAGTCACAAGCATTTTAAGCAAAGATCGATAGTGTCTAGCAATCGAATCCAGTTTGACGTGCGTTTTGTCTTATTTAAGACTCGTCAGCTGAATATCCCTGCATCCCAGAGTTGATGTTCACTCCGGGACTCGAATCCAGTACTGTCACATACATTTAAAAAAATATATAAAACAGAAAATTTTTTCACAAAGTGAAAATAAATTATGTATTAAAAAAAACTTGTTTAAAATTTTATTCAATGAAGCAATGACATTTTAATAAAATCCAATGATACTTTAACCAGAGGTTCATTGAAAAAAAAAGAAGAAAACAACCTAGATTCATTTTCATTAAAGTAATGAAGGAAACATGTTATTAATTATAGAAATTGATCAATAAAGAATGAATAGTAAACAGTAAAACAAAAGACTCAAAGGTCAACGATCAATATTATTCCTATTACAATTAATTTTCTATTTTCTTATTAAATAATGAATAAATTACATAGTCTTCACTGGGAAATAGATTTTATTTAACAAGAGTTAAATGATGTTTACAATTATTATAATTTAGGCGTTTTAATTGTTTTATGCAATGAAACAATAAGAATATTCAGTAATGATTTAATTATTTATCCAATAGACTAAATGCAAGTATATTCACATAGAATAAATAAATAAAAATGATAACAATGAATGAATTTCATATTATTTTTTATTGTATAAACAGTTTAATTTAGATCGTATTTAAAACCTACTTATATCCTCAAAAAAGTAGTAAGTAGAAATGTTTCAACAAAAAAAATACCCATTACTACTCTTAACCTACATGTTCTTAATTGGGCATTTTCGTTTATTTGTTTTTTATGATTTATTTTCTTTTTTACAAGCATTTCTACCCTGAATTATTGAAATCCAAAAGAAAAACAGAAAAAACTTGTTTTTTTTTATCACAATCCCTTAAGTTTTAAAACAATGAAACTGACCAATGAAGCAAATATATGTATATGTATAGGAAGAAGAAAGGAAATTAACATTTAGGCTAAGGCAATTTTTTTTCAAAATTAACATGTAAATTCATTCTGTGTAATTTCTGATAAATTTTTCATTAATCCTTCTAGATTAGCCATTTCTTGATTTAATTCTTCTGTACTGAAACCTTTCTGTAAAGGTAAGAAAAAGAAAGAGAATGAATATGAAAGTTATTTTTAAGAAAGTCTACATATTGTGTTGTGATTGTTCACTTAAATGAACTAAAATAATATTTGAATTGGTTATATGTTAAAAAAAACTTGATGCGTACTTCGACTTCAGGCATTCGAACTACAAAAACAAAAACGAATAGAACCATTAGTGGTGCATCTCAGTATTTATTTAATCTTGATTATGTACACAAGAATGTAAATTTTTTTCAAAGGGGTTTTGTGAAGATTGTAGTGATTTCAATAGTTGAGATCATGAATCAATTGAAACTAGACCACCATAGAAAACCTAGAAGTACTGGACGGCCCTTCCGTCCTATTGTGGGACTCCTCAACAGTTCGCATCCACGATCCTGCCTCCCTAGATTAAAACCCATGACCCATCAATTTCGCGCGTGAGCGCTTAAAATCTAGATCACTGAGCCGGCATATAATGTTGTTAATGTATAACTTCAACTAATCCACGAAATTGGACGACACATATACCATTGTCATCAGTGAGTTAATATCTCACAACTGACCCGGTTGAACTCCACTGGTCACTGCTTCTCACTAATCAACATATGCTCACTAATGACTGGCTTTAAGATGTATATCTTGGAGTTCTAGTGAGAAGCAGTGACCAGTGGAGTTCAACCAGGTCAGTTGTGAGATAGTAACTCACCGATGACAATGGTGGATGTGTCGTTGAGTTTCGTAAATTTTTTCGTTGTTAATATTATGGATTGTAATCAATCATTCTCTATTAACATTTGTGCATTCTCAGCGGAATCCCTTGATATTGCCTTCAGTTATTAGTATTTCAAAATATTTTGATTTCGGCTACCAATTAGATTTAGAACATTCGTTTGGACCTAATTTTGGAGTCGACAACTAAATGTAAACGCTTACATTGATTTACTTTTAGTCATGTTAATTAAAAAAATTAATTCAATTACATTTGGGTAAGATATCATCTATTTAATCACTTTTCATTAAGGAATATCAAACATCCGAAAAATGATTAGTCTAAACCTGATATGAATGTATTAATATTTGTGTGGTTTTCATAAGGATTACATTTATCCGTGTACTGATTCATAAAGATAATAACTTCAAACGAATCTAGGGCACATTATCACATGTAATTGAAAATGAGATCAAAGATCACTTTTATTATTATGACCAACGCTTGTATAATTCTCAAACTTTCAATAACTGGTCTATCAAATATAATATCAAATCATATATCTGTTTGTTAATCATACAGAATTTACTTACCATCATTTCCTGTTCAGAAATGCTATCTGGTGTATCTGGAGTTCTATCATGTTTATTAAGTTCTAAATCATAATTTGATTTTGTTGAAAATACATTCTGTACAGTAGTATAAGTAATAGTGTTTGAAGAAAGAGTATTAGTTGGTGTTGTTGTTGTAGTTGTTGTCATTCTTTTCATAATTGTCGGTGACTGAATAATTTTATTTTTAATTTCTATTTTATCCGATAAATAATCATCATCAGTTAAATTAAGTATTTGTAATCGATTAATCGGTTGATCGGACAAATTATATTGCATTAGTCTTGCAAATTGTCCTGATCGATGTTGCGGTTCCGGTGTCGGTACACGATCTAATACAAATGATGCATCAACATTATGTACATTTGTATTCATATCTATCAGTTTTACTTTATTTGGATAGTTTACATGTTTTTCCGGTGAAAAACCATGATTTGTCGCACTTGATTCACTTGACTTATTGCCTTTTTTGACATAAAATAACAGAAAGTGTAAAAAACGACAATTTAACTTTAAATGATACTCAAGATGTGAATTACTCATTTTTCAGACAAGCACGTTTTTACACTTTTAAAAAAGTAATAAGTAAATAGATAGTAAATGGTTGGCAATTTGTCTTAAAATCGATTAGCTTGCACTATTGAAAGTGTTTACTTACGCAAATATGTTTACACTTATATATATATATCGTCTTCGATGGAACCCATGACCTATAAGTTTGATTACAGACAGGGTCATTCCAGGCGATCGTAATTGATAGCAGCAGTTAACTCAAAACACAGTTTTAAATTCAGTCAGTGTCTTAAGTGAATGATTGAATTACTTCCAACTTTTACAATTTTTAATTATCCAAGGTTCATCTTAAATGGGAATATATATATTGGATGTAGTATATAATTTGACTAGTATATATTTAAATTTATCTTGATTAATAAATTTAACTAATAATATTATTCTACCCTATTGAAGACAACTATCAAACCAATTGTTGATTAGATATATGAACTTATGCAATTGTAAAATGCTGTCTTTATAGTTTTAAATATTGAACTTCTCTTAGCTAGACTACCATTGAAAACCTGGAAGCAGTGGACAGGGGTTTCATTCTAGTATGGAACTCCTCAGGATTGTGCATTTATGATACCTCATTCGCAAGTCAAACCAAGGACCCTTAGTCCCTCTCTCAAACTCCTAAACATTAGATAATTGAGCTGACATCCGGTGGTTTTAATATTTAACTTCGATCAATTCATGATATTGGGCAACCCTTATACTTTATTTACGATTGAAAACTATCTATATGCGCCATGGATTGAACTTCACTAGTCATGACTCCTCATAAGAACTCTAATAGTTGCTTCTTGAAGCTAGTCATTGATGAGTGCACGAATATCAGTAATACATGGTGATTTTCATATGTTTGAACTGTGAAAATTCTACAATTTCCACAGATCCTCCTATACTACTGATTTCAGAACAATATTCCTTGAGAAACGAAATACGCTTTTTGAAGTCTGCGTATATAAAAACGGATCAATTAATCATACTTGATATTTACTATTTACCGAACTAAACATGCTTCTCAAAATAGTTACTGATAACTGTTCTGAACGATCATCCCAAAACTGAAATCATTCCGAAGAAGTCAAAACAGTTACAAACGATCTTACTTCATAGGAAATAATATCTGAGTACTTTGTTTTGTGAAACTGAGATAGATATTTGAAATAGGGGACTAGATTTTCAACATGGAAGGATTCATCAAATAAAAATTTTATATTAAACATCATGCTTTGTATGTTTTTTATTTCGTTGTGATTCTTTTTATCCTAAACAAAAATCTTGGTTTTTAATTATGTTATTCATTTTACCTATCAAAATATTAGTCATTGAAGGAAAATCTTACACCAGAATATAAGTTCATTCTATTTGGTAGGTTTTTGTTCCTCGATCATTCAAAACTACCAAAGGAACGTATTATTATTTATTTAAGTATAATTAAGTCAGTAATATCTAATTTGATGCAGTTCGTATATTTTCAAACTTACTTCTACATATAACATTCAAGATATGAGAAAAAATATATTCTAGATACAGAAAATTATGTGTAAAATAATGATTTCAAGCATGTAACTAATTTATAATATTATGTTTATTTTAATAATCTTACTTAAGCTACTTTGTTGTGAAGCATAGTCGGAACTCAGAGCATTATTTCGAGTTGATATACCTGTTCCATGAGTTTGACATCTTTCACCTTGACTATCCGATAGAATTTGATTTTTATTATTGCTGTACTTCCTTGGGGGTAATGGTGATAAACTTTGTTGATCAACAGATGTATTTACAGACAACTTTTGATCTATACATAATTAAATAAAATAATAGGGAATTTTAATTAATACGTTAATGCTATAGATATAAACATCACATACTCTGTGCATGATAGAAATCTGATAGTATCATGTAATAAAGTGAAATAATATATACTACACCGAAAAATGCAATTCACTACGGAACAACATAACAGGTTGATGTAGGTTTTAAAATAGTTCATTTGAAGCCATTATACTCTAAGCAACAATGCAAGCATGTTCGGAATGCGATTCTCCCGCTCGAAATGTAAAATGTTGCTTCAGGATTGGGTTGCATCGACACTCGAACTAATGATAGGGAGTGAAGTAGTTGAGCGTGTCGACCGCTTCACTTATCTTGGAAGTCTCATCAGTCCTTGTGGTCTGGTGTGTGAGGAAATCTCAGCACGGATACAGAAGGCTCGACTAGCTTTTGCAAACTTGCGTCATTTATGGCGTAGGCGAGATATCCGTCTGTCAACCAAAGGACGGGTTTACTGCGCAGCAGTTCGTTCCGTCCTACTTTATGGCAGTGAAACGTGGCCGGTAAGAGTAGAGGATATTCGTAGGCTACTAGTATTTGATCATAGGTGTCTTCGAAACACTGCTCGTATATCCTGGGACCATCGAGTAAGTACGCAGTTGTTAGGAAACGGGTACTAGGTAAGGATGGCAAATCCATTGATGAAGTAGTGAAACTTCATAAGTTGGGATGGCTGGGACACGTGTTACGTATGCCCAACGACCGAATGCCTCGACGTGCGATGTTCAGTGGTACAGGAGTGGGTTGGGAGAAAGCTAGGGACGGTCAGACCAAAACATGGCACAAGTCGATGTAGTCACTGACAAGTGGACTGAGTGAGCCATGTTGGTAGGTGTAGAGTACCTGGTTGGGGACCGCGAGATGATAGCAACCGACGGTTAGAGACCCTGAATGACATGGCTCAAAATCGTTTGGAATGGCGCAGGTGCATACACTCTTTGTGTTATCCCAAATTTTGATCTCCTTATTCATCCTTGTCTCTTTTTTTCTGTTCTCAAATTTATTTAACTGAGTTATACTCTTTAAATAACATCTCCAAACACTAATCTTTCCGATTACTGCTTATACTCTTACTGCCTCTACCACAAAGGGATTTGAATCGACAACTGCATCTCTGTGCTAATGTGGTATGGCAACTCGAACTGATGTATGTACGTACGAAGTTCTACGTTGTTACTGACTGACTGATTATACTCTACACTTTTAGACAATGTAAACACTAGACATATTCAAAGTATCATTAAATCTACGGTTAGGCTAACGTGATTCATACAATTGGAACCAATAATTGTAAGCGTTATCCTCACGTTATTACATTGTAGTTATTCTTGGAGTTTTATTTTAACAGTGGATTTTATGATAGGGGTTCAAAGACAAGACTATACTAGTCTCAGCTTGTTTTTATCATATCACATATCAAAAAACTATTTCATAACTGAAATGCATTATTTAATTTTATCCACTACTTTGTATTGGTACAAATGACTTAACATAAGGTCATTTATTTCTATACACTGATAGGTCCTTTGTTCTAGTCCCACGAGGTGGGATCGTGGATGTGCACTCCTGAGGAGTCCCCGATAGGACGGAACGGCCGTCCAGTGGTTCCAGGTTTTCCATGGTGGTCTAGCTATAATTGACTCATGATCTTAACCAATGAAATTACTTCATTACATTTTAAACGTTTTTGTTTGACCGTTTATATTACTAGTGGCTTGAATGAAATTCATATACTACTGATATTCTTGTTCTCATTGTGTTAATATGACTTTGATTATTGCCAAAGTTGAAATGCGATTAATAATGTGTATGTATTAAATACAAATAGTACATGTTTTACGAAAATGATACTTCAGATGACTTTAAAAAAACATTTCTGACATTTTCATCTAGTTGGATTGAAGTAATATGAATGAAAGTTTATTAAAAGGCAAGGATCATAAACTTTCATTTATCAAGGTAACATTCAATTGATATTTAGGGTTTTCACGCTCAAACTAATAAAATCTTAAATATTTATTAAATTTGTAGCTTGTAGGATTGTAAATATGAAAGTGAAGATTCTCATATGTAATGAGTTTTATTCTTTACAAGCAAACATTTAATTCGAAGTGATACCATCTACACTTATACATTATTTACAAATAAATCAGCTTTCAGAGAATGATTCTTCGATTTTTGAGCCAAGTTACACACTCAGTATTGAATAACTTGTGTCATGTTGAGAGCTAATTAAAAGAAAATACAAATCCACATTCATAAAATGGCTGAAGACTAGTCGATGTAAACTAAATTCAATGATCCTAAAATAATAGTGGAGAAAGTGAATAGTTTTTATCCGAAAATAGATCAATTTAGCATAAATAATGAACTTCTTAGTTTTTAAGGCTTCAAATCTTAAAAGGGAATCGCATGAATACTCACTCATATGACTAAGAATCATTCTTGTTACCTAACTTTACCACCTAACCTTAATTCTTAAAACTTAACTTCTAACCCTAACACTATTATTCAATTTTCTACAATAAATTGTACATATTAATTAGTTAATAACTGGATATATTTATCAATGTCACATTTAGAGTTACTGAAATTCTTCAATAAAATATATTTCTATTATATACTACTAAATGAAAAATGAAGTACATATAACATACGTGTTCCATGTCCATTATGTTTACTTCCATAATTTCTAAAACCTATATCACGATTAATATTTAACTCATCATTATTATCTTCTTCATCTTCATATTTTCCAATAACTCTGTTATATTTTTTGAAATTTAAACTTGTATTTGTTGGTGAAGAAGAGATTTGATTTAAATAACCATGTGTACGTCCAGTAGCACTACTTCCTGGTGAAGACGCAGTCACTTCATCTGTAAGACTACCACTTCCAGTACATCCATTGTCTCCAATCATTTTATTTAATTGATTACTTCGAAAATCACGTGAACGATTAAAATTAATATGAGGATTATTATTATTATTATTATTATTTGTACAACATGTCATTTGTAAATTAGGTGGATTAATTACAGTGCCAGGAGGTTTGAATGGACTACGATTCCCCATATTTTTTAATTGTGATTGTTGACAATAAGGTGCATGACAATTAATTGAATTTTGAACACTTGATCCAAGATAAGATAATGTCATGTCACGTGATGCACTAATATTACCATTCAATGACTCTATATTACGCTCATGCATGTCAGCTATGAAACAGTGAAAATGAAAAAATAAAAAAAAATAATTTGTAATGGTTTGAATTATCCTATTCTTGATATTTTCACTGAATTTTGATTAATATTAGTTGGAATATGTGCATCCTGTTTGGTTCATCATCATGCAGTCATTGTGACATAAGTTTACATAGAATTAATAGGATGCACGTAAATCCAGCATACAAGTCCCAAATAGGATGAAACGCGCATACTGAATTCTGCTGTTAGCTACATCATATTTAATCGAATAAAGAGTTAATCATTTAAATAAGTCATTATTATGTGTACAAACTCTCCTCTTATCATGGTCTTAAACTCATGTCATTTTCTTTTTTTCCCTATTCTTCTTTCACAACCATCTTCTTCAATTCTGTCTTCTTTTGCATGAACCTTCAGCCTCCAACTCATCTGTTTCTGTTTCTACAATCTATCTAGTAACAGTTTGTCTCAATTTCAACATTTTATCTTTACACGCTGAAAGTTCCCTTTACAATTATAATTCTATGTCTATCTACATGATGAATATTCAGAATCTCAATAGTAACACTATTATCATTCCCCTCAGTAAGAAAACGTTTTTATGCCTTTATTTTGCCTCACTGTTACCATGTTTAGCAAAGTTTTTATTATCACTATTATTGTCATTAAGCTGGTCGGTGGCCTATGCTCCACTGGGAGTAACAGGCATAACTAAGTAAGTAAGTAATTATTGTCATTACTGTCATTTGAATATTAAGTAATTATTCACGATTGTAAAGTTTTGAAAAGTAACTCCTAGAAAAAAGAACACTTCTTTGAACAAATCTTTCTGATTTCAATTAAGAAATCTCTATTCATTTCTCATATATACATGCCTCGTGAAACTGTAGTGTCAATATATTTTGCGATTAGAGTATCTGTATGAATTATTAAACAACAGAAACCCCACCATGTAAGTTTTAGGTTCATTGCCTTATATTACCAAACAGAATTTGTAATCCATCACTTATTCAATCTCCTGTTTTCCTCTAACACACGGTAACTACTGATGGTAAGAGTAGGATATAATTGTTTGAATCAATTAAAATATATAGATCAACTATTAACTGGCTAGTAATAAACACCCTGCCCTATCTATGGTACTAATCACGTATTATAAGTTATGTAGTGAGATATGAGGATGAAGTAAAATGGTCTTTATACGACTCCTTTTTGTTTGTAACTGGTTTCATTAGAGAGTAATGTGCAATTCTTGCATATCTTCAAACTCTAGACAAGTTTAACAGTTCTATTTAATCTCCCCATTTAATATTATTTAGAGAGGGAATGTGTTGTCTTAACTTGATTCACACATTGTTCGGTTTTCATCTCAATAAGGTACTCATAATTTCCATAAAATAATGTCTTACAAAATTTCTTTCTTCTTCTGCTTTAATGTTCATGGTTATATAGTCATATTCATAGGTCACCTTGAAACCTATCCATCTGTTCATTTAAACAGTAATGATATATTTTACAAATGGTTATGGAATACACGATATCATACAGGCATGATGATGCTGATAAGTTAGGATACATTACTTAAGAGAATATGACTCATAAACATTTTCGATTGAACATTTATCTTTTAGAAAACGGAAGAAGTTCATTGACTCAGTAAAAAACAATGAAGTCATTCCGAGAAGGAAATTTTCTTTTCGAAAATACCATTTTCTGAAACTGTACAATAGTATTTATGGCTAATTTTTTACGTGTAGTAGTTTATGGTAAAAATAGAGGAGTTTCACAAAATTATCAAAGATAGTCAACTTATTCAAGTGAACGTCAATGAAAATGAAGTGATATTGAATAATTTAGCCAAAATTATCGAAGGTTTCAAGTATTGAGTATAAACACTGATAAATGTGTTTTATTTCAGGGTAATTAAAGCTTCGAAGTATTGGATAACACTGAGTTACATCATCCAGCAAAGCCTACCTTATGTAACAGTTTTGAAAGTAATAAAATATAATGATTTATGAAATAAAAGATACAAATAACTGTCTACTTAATAAACGAAGAGAAGGGGCAGGTTATAAATAGCATTTATATTTTATAAAATTCAAAGGGTTGCTAAAACCATGGGAAAATGAGGGATCGAAAGTGACTTTTCCGTGTACAGAGCTCGGGTTTTAAATAATGAATTGCTACAGGTTTCGTTGTGCACAAATTCCCCATCCTGGTATCTTTAGAGCCTGTTCTTTTTACTTTGTAGAGGATTTTATATGAAGATTTGCGTGGTGGGGTGAAAATTGACTTGACCATGTGACCAAGAACTGAGCTGTTGATTGATTTGCATTTTCCTTTAGATAATCAAGCAGGATACTGCCAGGATTTCCGTTTGCCAAGTGCGCGCTTCGTATGACCAATTTAACCTTCCCCATCAGAGCGAATAAACAGTAAGGTGGCTCAAAGTGGCAGTTTATCATTAGTACTTCTCTGAATGAGTTTCTTATTGGAGAAAACAGTTCGGAACTCTGCTGAATGAAGAGTTTTTTTCAAGAATCTCGATAGCATCTTCCTTAATATCTTAGCTGACGTTTTGGGTTCAGTTTACTATCAACAAACTTGGATAGGAAGCCATTCTCTATAAATGTTCGTCGCATTACATTCATCAAATGTGTTTTCAGTCCATATTCGTCTGGCTGGAAGAGGAACCAATAGAACTTCCATCGCCAAACCATTTATTTATCTAAACAGATCATCGCAAAATTTAAATTGCACGTTGAAAGTGAAGCATAGGGATAGCCCTTTTAGGAAATGTTTTGGTAAGCCGACGTCAACTTAGTCAAGGCCAATATAATCACATAAGGAGAAAATATTTTCTGCGGGAGAGACATTTGTGAATAAAGAAAAGACGTCTACCGACATCATTTTCGTTCCTAACATATTGACGTTGGCTAATGAATTCACGAAATCAAGAGTCTGGAATGGTATATTTCCAAATTCAGTTTGTGACCAGTTGTAGAACTTCTACTAGCCGTTTGAGAATCGCATAGTATGAGAAATTATTCGTATGCATTATCGAATTAAGAGGGAGGTCTCTCTTAGTTACTTTCAGGAGCCTATATAATCGTGGGATAGAAGAACTCAATGGCTATAAATGTTCGAATAGGTCATTACCGATTACTGATTCACTTTTCATTTTTTTCAGTATCGTGGTCACATTTAGTCCGATTTGATCGATGGTATGTTTTTTCGTTGGTTCTTTAGAAAACGTTCACTTATGATTAAGTATTGAGGATCATTTTTTCATGCAGTTCTTTCGATCCGTAAGAATAATCCCAACACCTTTTTATTGATTAGGCAATTATAAATCTCTATTCTTCAAGAGATCATTTGAGATTTATGATGCTTTGATAGGAGTCTGTACACTGAGACTTTCGAATTGATGTAATCATGGGAACAATTAGTGATATTTAATTTGAGTTGCGTAAAATGATTACTATAAAATGGGGTTAAGTCACATATTTGTCTAAGAAGATTTTCAAATAATGATTTTGTGTGAAACTCATCAATTTTCTTAAAAGTCATCACAGAATTTTGGACCAAGTGAAAGTGTTTAGATTTGGAACATGGATAATTATGCACTAGAATAGTTGAAAACATATTTCTCAGGAGGTTCTCGAAAGGCGGTTTGTAGTACGTTTGCTCTTAACTTTTCACGAATCTCGGAGCCATGTCTCCAGAGCGTTTCTTCGCAACTGTATAGATGTTTGCTTTTCCATATTGATATTGATGATGTGAAGTATGAGATGTATGCGAATTTCATAATTGAAAGTGACAACGATTTGAATTCTAATAGTAAATATTTTTGTTATATCCCAGTGAGTAGAAAAATTGTATTTCTGACGTTTTGTGACTTAATGTAAGCCACTTCTTCAGAGTAAATAAGTAACCGAATTAAATTAACACAAGTTTAAATAGTACAAAGGAAACAATGCAAAATATATTTTAGTGCAATCAAAATCATAATATGTCTGAATACTATTGGTTAAGGTGGATTTATATGGCTAGTCATTGTAATAGTTTGTGTATCAAGGTGTGGGTATGAAAAATATACTCATTTGTAATATGAAGTGGTGGATTAAGGTTATGTGTCCGTGTGTGTGTAGAAATAATAAAAATAAGGTCAAGTGTGGCTGTTTAAATAAATAGTCCAGGTTGGATAGATATTCAGGCCTTTGTTCCTACTGAGGGCAGAGGGATTTAGCATTATGCGAAACGCTTCCTCTACTCGCCTCTTTTTGTAGCTGGAAAAGTCTTTCTGAATTATTTTGATATTTTTAATATCAATTGGGTGATTACTGAAAATAGCATGTACTGCTGTTGCTGATTGAGTCTGTAAAGTTTCCAATTCTATAGGACTATAAGGAGTTCCTTTTGTGTAACTTAAATTTTCTTTGGCATGAATCGAGATCTCATGAGAAGACGCTCCAATATACACAACTCATCACATTCGACAACATAATCTGTAGGCACAATTTTGTGTGGAAGTAAACGGGATCGTATCTTTTACTCTAAGTAAAGCGTTTCTTAGAGTGTTGATTGTCTTATAGAAAGCTTTAATTTTGTAGGTTATTATTATCCACTGTCGTACCCTGGTGGTCAGGTAAAACCATAGTACCAATCCAAGAATTTTCATTAGGATTGTTATTTACAGACGGACAATTTTGTTTTAATATGTTTTTAATAATACTTTTAGGAAAATCATCAAATTGTAGGATGTTTATTATATTTTCGTTTTTTAGTTTATCTTCTTCTGAAGTAATAATGTTCTGAAGAGATTTAGGGCTAGAGAGATTTTTGCACTGAATGGATGTTCGGAGTTAAATCAATATACTGATTTGAATGTGTCGGTTTTCGGTATATGGCTGGATTGAAACTATCATTAGAATTCATCTTAACTAAACAGTCTGAGAAAGGTAGCTCACTGTGTTCATCTTCCTTTCCGAAAGTGAATTTGATGTGTTTTGAGAGCGTGCTTATATGTTTGGATAAATTTCTAAGAAGAGTCTTTTTAATGATGACAAATGTGTCATCTACATATCTGAGCCATATGCGTGGTCTGATGGTGCTGGCAAGAATAAACAACTCAATGTGGGACATAAATAAAGTTGCAACAATCGGAGAAACTGGGGATCCCATGGCTACTCCATTCATTTGTTTACATAAGGTCCCTTTGAAAGTGAAAAGCATTGAATTCAAGTATCGTTTGAGGGAATTCATGATTAACCTAGTGCTTAACAGGTATTTCCAGATTTAAATTATGGTACTTTTGCCGAAACTGGACATTGTAATAGTCATAAATCTAATGAAGATGCTGTTATCATTAATGGGTAATGTATGATAAACAGAAGTATGCTAAAAAGGTCGTGTAGTTAAAACATTATGTGGGTTTTATTTGGTCAGACATAACGCTTCTATGTTGGGAAATAAATAAAACATTTAGGTCCTTTGAATCAATCATACTATTTACATCAATTTCATCTTCAGTCTTTATCTAGATTATTCAACTGGATAATGTTAAATTTGAAGACACTTTTGGAAAAGTACAGTTGAATATCTTCTGACAGTTGATTTTGTTCAATAAATTCTAACGAAGCCAACTATAGTTCCCAAGTGGACATATATAGCCTGTACTGTGATACATCTTACTTCCTATTATCAAATCAAAATTTGTTGGTGAAACCACTGTTCAACTACTTAACAAAGCAGACTCAGAACGAAAAACATACAATTCCAAACTGTTGTGGAAGGCTTCTAAAAGCTCTGATACTTCAGAACGTCTTCACTATGGAGAATTGTGTAATGTTTATATCTTGTGCTGCTTATTTGTTTTCTGAGCAGAATAACAGCTGCTAGAAATCTCGTACTAAGTAATCTTACTCTCATCATGATTTATGCAAACAGGATATTTTTCTCAGTGAGTATTCACTATTGGCACTTAAAAGAATCAGGCGAATGAAATTATACTGCATTAAACAGAAATTTTAAATACAGGATTATAAAGTATGGTAGGGCATCTACTTTCATCAAACCCAAGTTAATGATATGGATCTTCACAGACGACTTCGTTTATCAATGAAATTTAGGAAGTTGGAGCTAAAAAGTCGAATGAAATTTTGCTCATCAGTGTTTAGTGAAAAAATGCATCAATAACAACAAATCATTAATAATAGATATTAGAAAGCAACTAAGTTAAACATAGTACTGGATTGATATGTTAACTGGATATTGATCAGTTTCATTTGACACATATTCATCCTATGTGGATTGCTTCAATATAATAATTATTCTACAAGTTTCTATATAACAGACGGTACGTGGCTACAAGCGAAATCCAGGATGTGAGCTTTGTCCTATCTGGAACCCTTCGGCTATATACACATACACTTGATTTCACTGTTAATCATTACTCAATTTTACCATTAATTGACCAGTAAAAATAACACCGAATATGTACAAAGAAAAATCTCCATTGTCAGAAAATGTTGTTTATTATAACAATTCAAATCATCACTGAGAAAGGTCAAAGCCAAATAACAACCCATATCACTTGAATGTATGGTAGCTACCAAAAATTTTAGTAGTCCACGATATGGCTCAACCATGTTGATCGGTTCACGACTCAACAATCTCCACAACCTTGTACTGATATTTACTATGTACTCACTAGTGACTAGCCACGGGAGATAATTTTCAAAGTTCTAGTGAGAAACCGTGGACAGTGGAATTCAACCGTGTCGGGTGTGAGGTGTTTACCCACCGAAGACAATGGAAGGACGAAATGGCCGTCCAGTGCTTCTAGGATTTCAATGGTAGCCTAACATTGATCGGTTCATGATCTCAAATTATTTTTAAGTTTAACTCTTAATTTTGATAACAACATCTACATTACCATCCAATGATGAACTATAAAAGTAAGCTTATTCCGCATCACACAAGTATTCACTGGCATACATACATGGAATTCTACAAAATAATAACAACGTACCCGACAACTGTTTATTCAACTTAAATTTACCACAGTTCATATCATTTTGCCAATTTCTACCACTTTCTTGACAATTATTTAATAATTTCATTGAGTTATTAGCATCGGTATCACTTTCGACTGATGTTGAATGCCGATCTTCAAAACACCCTCCACCAGATATACCAATATTGAATGCTCCAACATTAGGTATCCAGTTAATTGGTCCCGATGGTGTTGGCGCTGATGTATCAATCGACACACCACAATTACAATGACTGCTGGTTAACAATGGTACTGTTTCATTGATCTTTTTTACGCTACAATCAGAATGTATACAATTAGAATGATGTGATGGATAGATATTCATTCGTACATTTTGATTGAACTGGTCATTGGTTAGTGAATGGCCTGTGCGAACACCAATTGAACCGGAATTGGAACCAGCAGCTATAGTTTCTGTCGGGCTACAACTACCGAGTATATTTGCATTAAGACAAATATCATTCAGATTAAATGATGGATTCTTTTGTAAGCAATCATGTCGATGTATGGTTGTTTCATGTTGATGTTCTGAATACGATGTATTATATGTTGACTTATCTGATACCCTAATTAATTGATCAGTGAACAATAGGAAATAAAAATAAAACGATGAACGACAAAATTGAATTGGAAAGAAGAAAAATTAAAATTAAAAAACGCGCTTAATTGCGAACTACTAAAAATGTGCTCTAATGATTCACAGGAAAAACTCAATTTTAAACATCCGTTACTTAGTTAAAAGAATGATCAAGCCTAATGTAAATGGCTTATATCTAATATATAAACATCCGTTTTAAAGACAGTGCAAACTATCGAAAACAACTAAAGACAAGCCTCTAAATTCTTTAACCCATGTTAGTTAATGTAAACATTTATCACTCTAGGGAATCGTGTAATAGATGGTATGACACCGCCATATGCTATATGGTTAGAGAAAATTGGCATATCCAGGAATTAGATCTATTGTTAGCATGGCGAAACTACCGAATCAAAGAGTCAGTAGAGGTTCAAATTCGGGATCAACAGGCTGGATTGCGTAAGGATCAGTCGTGCGCAGACCAAATCGAAACAGTACGGATCATTGTTGAGAGATGAGTTGAATGGAATTCTTTGATATACATCAACTTCCTTCACTATGAGAAACCATCTGACAGCATGAATAGGAGAACCTCATGAAACCTTTGTTGACACTATGAAGTGAGTAAGTGAGAAGATCGGCAACATCATATGGAATTCATACCACTACCTACACTCTAAAGCCATGCACTGAGGACAGCTGATAGATGTATTCTAATTGAAATACGGCGTAAAGCAAAGACGCTTGATCTCGCCTTTTTCCTTCCTTCCGGTGGTTGACTGTATTATGAAGACCTCTACGTCTCAGGTGAACCACGGAATACAATAGATGGCTTGGATGCGGCTAGACGATTTGGAGTATGTGGATGAATTAATTATTCTATCCCATACACAGCTACAAATGCAGGTTAAGACAACTAGTGTAGCAGCAGCCTCCAGGGCATTAGGCCTCAACACATACAAAGGAAAAAGCAAGATCCTTTAATGTAGCACGGAGAACACCTATCGAGAGCTCTAGGAGAGATGGAAACTTATACACACATACATGGACAGCATCATCTATAAACATAGAAAATCTGATGCATATGTAAAGGTATCTATTAGAAAATTAAGGGCAACATTCATACAACTGGAAAACATATGGAACTTAGAACAACTGTCTGAAAGTCAACATCAAAGTAAAAATTCATTATACAAACATCAAGACAGTTCTGTTTTACGGAGCTGAAATTCGAAGAACTATCACAACCATCATCAAAGTTGTACAAGTATTTGTAATGAGTTGTCTATGCAAGGCACTCAATGTCCGCTGGCCGGATACCATCAGTAACAACCTACTGTGGGAGAGAACAAACGAGCATCCAGCTGGAGAGGAAATTAAGGAAAGATGTTGGAGATGAGTTGGACATATATTGAGACCAGATCAAAAATCTCGTCAGAAATTGGAGGCAGACATCAAATAAAGGAATAACACTTGGGAGTAACTATAGAAGAGAGATTGGGATAGTGTTAGTTTGACATTCGTGATCGGCGGCCTATTCTCCACAAGGAGTAATAGGCATAAGCAAGCAAGTAGTGGAATTCGAACGACGCATCACTTACTGTCATATTCAGTAGCAATTCTTAACATCCTGTTAGTTGCTTTCAACCATACAGCATCAAAACGTAATACAAGTTATCATATGAGTTTGGTTAGTGGTCACACTACCACTTGATCGATCATCTCCGATCCACATTGAAGATATACATAAGTATACATATAAATGTAAAACTTGAAATTCAGATTGTCCGAGAGATAGAACAATTTTTAGGTGATGAAGACAAAAACAGGATTAAAAAAGCATTTATAAAACATTTAAATACTGAAATAAACGGTTGGATAAAAATGACGTTGGATTTACAGCAAGTTAGAAATTAGTTGGTACATCAGGTACAAATTATGTCTCGTAAATAAGTGTATAAGGACCCATTAGCCTTTTTAGTTTGTGTTAACACTTAATAGGTACACTCTTAGCGGATACTTCATAATGATTTCATCCACTGAGTTTTTGGCTTGAATACCAATCGGCTCACTTCACGAAGGACAATTGGAAAATATGATTCACGCTAACATTAGAATTTGTCTGAGACTGTTATCCTAGTTATTGAATGAAATTAATTAAATAGCTAATAAATGATCTTTATTACATGTCATACTGATATATTGATTTTAGCAGTACTAATTCAACGAATGTCTTAACCAAACTGCCACTTTTACTTCATGGAAATGTACATGTTGGTTACTTACAAGTAGTTCGAGTAATATAACAAAATTTTCTTCCCAAAAAGTAAATGAATAAATACACACAAAGTAAAATTTAACACAAGAAAACCAACCAAACATTTAATGAGCTAGATAACTGAACCCATTTATTTATACGAGTCAAAAAAATATTTATCTGTGAAAATATTCAGAATTGTATATGAAATTATGGATTGTTTACTTTTTTTGGTGACAGCAAAACAAAGTTCATTCTGCCATAACATCTGACTAATATTATTTATTATTTATAACTAAAATATCCTGACTTGCTAATCGGATTTACAATTAACGCATCAATTATACCAACTACAATTTCTCCACTTTTATATTCAAAACATGTGAAGTAGTCATTTGGGATTCACATGCAGATTGTGAGACCAGTGTATAAGCATTATAGTCCAGCCATATCGAGAGTGAAACAAATATTACTAATAGTAAAGAGCGATGGTACCACGAATTAATTCAAGTCAATAGTGTAAAGCAGTAGACCCTAGTTGTTTGAATCTCAAGTCTTCGACATGTAGACTGAATATCACTGAAACGCGTTGTAAAATAATACCAGACTAGGATACAATAGATGTTCATTGCCTCATAATTTTTCTTGGTTAACTAGCTGAAGTCAGTCGGTGAAATTAAATTTTAAATTTAAAACTCTACTAATCATTCATAATAACATAATCATTACCATATGTATTACGACTTTTTCCTTTCTTTGAAACAGCAACCACAGAGGTATATTAATCAACCTAACAATTTCATAAATAAAATCCATTTTTTTTCGGTAAATGATTCAGAAAATTCTAAATCTCAATTAATTCTCTAGTTGATTTTGCTTAATCGTTACCTGTACAAGAAATGATTAGAAGGTAGTCCTCATTGTTGGATGAAAATTCATATCTCATCCTTTATCACGCAGCTAAACTCTTTAGTTTATTGTTTTCTTTTATGACTGTAATCTACATTTTTTTCAAGTGCTTCTTTAGTGATCAACAGTCTGGATTCCGTAAGGATCGGCCGTGCACAGACCGAATTGTGACGCTACGGATCATCGTCGAACAGTCAGTTGAGTTGAACACGTCACTATACATCAACTTCATTGATTATGAAAAGGCGTTTGACACTGTAGATAGGAGAACGTTATAGAAACTTCTTCTGCACTATGGAGTTCCTGAGAAGATTGTCAACATTATCCGAAACCCATACGATGAACTACAGTGCAAAGTCGTGCATGGAGGACAACTGACAGATGCATTCCAAGTAAGGACAGCAGTCAGACAAGGCTATCTACTCTCTCCCTTCCTCTTTCTTCTGGTAGTCGACTGGATTATGAAGATCTCAACATCTGAGGGAAAACACGGCATACAATGGACAGCTCAGAACCAATTAGACGATTTTGACTTCGCAGATGACCTAGCTCTCCTATCGCATACACACAAACAAATGCAGATAAAGACAGCCAGTGTAGCATCAGTCTCTGCATCAGTAGGCCTCAACATACATAAGGGGAAAACCAAGGTCCTCAAATTTAAAACGGAGAACACCAGTCCAATCACACTTGATGGCGAAACTCTGGAAGATGTAGAATCCTTCACATACCTGGGAAGTATCATCGATGAACAAGGGGGATCAGATGAAGACGTAAAGGCAAGAATTGGCAAAGCAGGGACCGCATTCCTACAATTGAAGGACATATGGAACTCAAAAACAACTGTCTGTCAACCAATATCAAAGTGAGAATCTTCAATACGAATGTCAAGGCAGTTCTACTGTATGGAGCTGAAACAACAACCATTATCAAGAAGGTACAAGTATTTATAAATAGTTGTCTACGCAAGATACATGGCCGGATGCCATCAGCAACAGCCTTTTGTGGGAAAAACAAACAAGCTTCCAGATGAAGAAGAAATTGGGAAAAGACGATGGAAACTGATAGGACATACATTACTGTAATCACCAAACTGCATCTCGAGGTAAGTCCTAAGTAAGTAAGTAAGCTTCTTTAGTGAACTGAATAAATCCTTAAATTTATTGATTATCAGTTGCAAAAGATTTTTTTGATATATAAGGATACTTTCACACAGCTAAAGAGAAGTTTCCAGTATCAAGAATGATTAAATAAGGAACCAAAATGTATTAAACCTTTATAAAGCTAAAAGAATACAAAACGAAATGAGTTTACTACATTTCAAGGCTTTTCTTAGATCACTTTAAGCCTCAAAAGAAATAAAATATTCTCTTAATAAAGCATATTTTTTATCACTGAATCAGATAGACAAAGTAAGGCTTATTTTCTGAAAAAAAGATCAACAGTACACTGAGATTTGTAGCTTAGATCACCAGTTGAACTTAGTTGGATAACTACTGAAAACCAAAATGCAGTGAACAGCTGTTTCGTCGTTGCATGGAACTCTTACGCGCTGAGAATTCACAACCTCACTATGAATCGTACCCGGAACCTTCAGTTTCGCGTAAACTCTTGAGCTCAGGATCACTGAACTGGCATTCAATGATGTACATTTCCAAACTCGATCAATTTTATGATATTGCACGACCAGCACCGGAAATATACATTCACGAAACCCATAGTAGAGCAAAATTAGGACCTTCAGCTCCCACAATAGGCATCTTATCCTAAAACCACTGGAACTCTATCTCAAAGGAAAGTCCTCACTGAGCCTATGATGAAAA